AGTATTTAATACATAAATTAACCATCAAAGTAGTATTCAATCACTAATAATCAAAAGCATCAAATTAACCATCAAAGTAGTATTCATTTCAATACAGAAATTAACCATCAAAATAGTATTCAAACGAAGGACTTTAAAGTCATCAAAACTCAAAAGCACTAATAATATGTTTCTTCAATTATTTCTTCTTGCTTCTTGGATTGAGCTGCCAAGTTGTAAATCACCTTCAAGCAATAACCTTCAAAACACAAATCAAGTTGTAAATAATTATAAATATTAGATTCCAAAACCTGCTACAAAAAGTAAAACCATGCCATATAACACTATAAACAAAAACCAATTATAGACAAAACAAAAGCAAAAAGAATCTACTCCAAATAAAACATACCATTTTTTCAAGCAAGTCTCTAATCAGATTCAATATCAGAAAGTCCCTCATTTACTTGTGGGATTGGATCCATTTTTAAAAATAATCAAATATATTACCAAATGTTAGACAAAACAAACAATTGAATAAAATATATTCATAAACAAAGTTTACAACATATACTTTGTTCAAGTTTCTCCAAGTCTTCCAAGTGCTCTTCAATATCCACTTTCAAAGGAGAGGATCTTAACCAATTTTGTGCACATATTAAAGCTTCAACGGTATGGGGTGTAAGAGAGCTCCTATAACAACTAAGAACTCTACCCCCTGTGCTAAAAGCTGACTCCGAAGCAACAGTGGATATTGGCATAGCCAAGATATCTCTAGCTATTAAACCAAGAGTAGGGTATTTGGTGGAATTTACCTTCCACCAATTCAAGATGTCAAAATCCGGACTTTTCTTCTCCCTAGTCTCTATGAGATACAAATCCACTTCATTATTAGTTAAATTTGAATCTTGGTCCATGTCCTTCTCAAATTGATCATCCATATGATCAGAAGATGTAACAACTTCCGATAGCCCTATTTCTTGTGCAGCACTTTCGGCTTGGTCTTTACTTAAGAAAATACTATAACTTTCAAACATTTTGGTTAATGTTTGTTTCACCTTATCACACAAAAAATCAGCAACTTCCTTCTCATAAAACTTATCCAATCCCCACCTAATAAATTGGAACTTACGTCGAGGATCAAAAATTACAGCAATAAAGACTAATATATTCATCTTTTTGACTTCTCCCCAATAATTACTATATTTATCATCCATAGCATTAGCCATATTTGTAAGTAATGGGTCATCTTTATGACATTCCTTCCAAGTCTTTAATGCCCCCAATATCGTACAATGTTCCATGAAATAAGTAGAAGATGTTACATAAGTAGAACCTGACACCTTTGTAGTGATTTCAAAAAACAACTTTAAGAATTTCACAAAACACTTGGCATTATCCCAATCCTCATTATTTGGGACACCACCTTCCAACATCGCATACTCAACACATTTCTCACCTAATCTTTTAAATGCTTTTTGAAACTTCAATGCACTTTCAAGCATAAGGTATGTGGAGTTCCACCTAGTGGGACAATCATACTTCACAGTAGACTTGTCTTGTATCCTAACTTCTTTAATACATGTCCTAAACCTATCTAAATGACCAGGTGACTGACGAACATACCGAACCGCTCTCCTAATTTTGGAAAGTGAAGAATGCATGTGCTTCAACTTCAACCCATCATTGACAACAAGGTTAAGAATGTGAGCATAACATCTAATATGTAAATGCTCCCCTTTTAATGGATGTGAATTCCAATCCTCCATTCTATTTTTTAGGTAAGCGATAGCAACATCGTTTGAAGAAGCATTATCAACTGTGATGGTGAAAACCTTATCTATCATCCAACCCTCCAAACACTTTTCAATCTTTTTCCCAATTATCTCCCCTTTATGAGAAGTTATTGGACAAAAGTTGAGAATCCTTTTATGCAACTTCCAGTCTTGATCAATGTAATGCGCAGTAAGAACCATATAATTAATATTTTGCACAGAAGTCCAAGAATCAGTTGTTAGACAAACACTTTGATTTGTTTTAGTAAACATGCTTCTTAACTTATGTTTCTCACTCACGTAAAGACTCAAACAATCCCTAGCAATTGAAATCCTTCCTGGAAGTGGGAACCTAGGTTGTGTAACACTCATAAAATGACGGAATCCTTCATTCTCAACAAAAGAAAAAGGCAATTCATCCACGATTATCATTCTAGCTAAAGCTTGTCTACACAATTCAATATCGAAATGGATACCAACAAGTGCATTAATTTTTCCTTTAGAACCTTCTTGAAGGCTAAGAGTGGTTTGACTAGGATCAAGAACATGTTTGGGAATTTTTTTACATTGATGCATCAAATGATTATTTAAATTTGAGGTTCCATTCTTATGTGAATCAGCTGCATAAGATTTCGTGCACCAATTACATTTAGCCCGAGTACCGGATTCATCTCTTGTAAAATGATCCCAAACCCAAGATTTAGGCCTACAAGGTTTTAGTTTACCTGAATCTCCAGCATTAGAATCATCAGCTTTAGACTCGTCCGCTTCTCCAACTTTCCTTTTCTTTTTGTGTTGAACATTGTAGCCTTCTTGTTTGTCCAAATCAATAGTTTGTGGTTGGTTTGTTGTAGGCGTCGGTGGACTATTTTGAGACTGAAAAACATAACACATACACTGTAAATATAACTACTTTATTATAGCCATTAAATAAATTCCAATCACGAACTTAACATTTATCAAATACACTTATTTATCATTATTTTACCTGATTTTCAGCCATGGAAAAGGAAGCATCAGAGCCAGCAACATAATTGACTTTATCAATATTCATATCTAAGAAATAGAGGAGACAATATATTAGAGACAAGGAAATGAAAATAAAACATAAACCTTTATGAGTATGGCAAAGTTAGCTAACATATTTGGAATCATTGAATCTAAGTTGGGTCTTAGTACTTTTAGTACAAATTGTAAGAGTATTAAAATGTTCAATCTTTTTATATTAAACTTGGCAATGAACTTGAACCAAGTCAAAATATTTTTGAGTTGTGCTTACTGCTTAAGATAAAATCATGTGGCATTAGCAACTCCATTTGTGAGAGTTGATTTGTTGAGCAACAACTCCAATAAACAATAGTCCAAGAGATATTAATCTGCCGCATTCCAACTCCATTCATGAGTGGATTCTTCAAGTGAATCAATTATTTTGCGTAGAGAGCATGTTATATATTAACTATATATACAATGTGCTAGTTCATACTAAAAATATCAAAATGGCCATAAGGTTCACACTCACCTCTTTTTCCTTAAAAAACATCACAGTACTTCACTTTTCTCTCTTAAGCATCACCTAAACTACCCATTATAAAGATGAAATTAATACCAATAATATTGTTGACTATTTACTATATGGTGTGATTATAACAAAATATAAATTAATTTCACATATATCTATGTTGTAGACATTTTTTTATCAAAGTTAATGTTTTGAAAAAACCCAAACGACAACCTATTATTTTTTGGTACTGTAAGTGCAAAACTAACTCTGTTATGTAGTGACACAAACATTGGCACACCTTGAGTCCAAACACCATGAAGGAGGTATTCACCCTAACTCCCTAAGGTGTGTAAAAACAAAAGAGAATCATGCTCAATTTATAATTTGTATTTTATAAATGGAAGTAAATGTATTATATTTATTTTTTAATTTTATAAAGTATGTAATAAATAATATATACCTTATTTGTCCTTGTTTTGTTTTTGAGAAGAATTTGAGAGAGTTACAATATTAGAAGAAAAGAATGGACTATTAGAATCATGGAGTGTTACAAAGCATGAAGCAGATTTGACAGTGGCACAAGACGGTTCTGGAAGTTATAGAACAATAAAAGAAGCAGTTGATGCACTTGCTTCAAGGGGGCATAATCGTCCTTCAAGATTTGTTATACATGTAAAAGCAGGAGTGTATAATGAAAAAGTTGAGATAGGAAGTAAGTTGCATAATGTTATGTTTGTTGGAGATGGAATTGATAGAACTGTTGTCACTGGAAATAGGAATGTGAAGAATGTTGGAACCACTCTTAACTCTGCCACATTTGGTAAGTTATTTTAATTTCATTAAAACTAGAGGTGTCTATGATATATGCTAACATGATTTGGTTACATGAAATAGATGTATCAGGGGATGGATTTTGGGCAAGAGACATAACATTTGAGAACACAGCAGGACCACAAAGCCACCAAGCAGTAGCCCTCAAAGTAAGTTCAGACTTATCTGTCTTCTACCGATGCAGCTTCAAAGCCTACCAAGACACACTCTACCTATTCTCGAATCGACAATTCTACCGCAAAGAGAAAATAGAACACAGCTTGAACATGATGAACAATAACGTTACCTAAGTGATTTTCAGATTTTGATAATGTTCTTCGAATTCAGTTTGTGTTTCGCTTGTTGCTGATGTTCTTCAACTTCGATTTGTGTCCGCTGTTCTTCGATCAACAAGGTGGTGTTGTGATGTGCGTGTTTGTTCTGGTGTGAGTGTCCGCCATTCTTCTTCAATGTACCGGCGGCGGCAGTGTACTGTACGTCTGTACCCTAGCAAGCAAATTGGTGAAACAACAATAAACATGTATATTGGATTTGGGCCAGTTAATAATTGGGCCTATTTCAGTAATTAATAAATAAGTTTGTAAACATCGCGGTTTGGTTCGGATTGGATCGGTTTGCAAAAGAAAACCGCAAACCGAACCGAACCGCACGGTTCTGTCAAAAATTGGTCCGAACGCATCCGAACCAAATGCGGTTTTTGCGGTTTTCGGTTTGGTTAGGTTCGGTTTGCGGTTTTTTATTGGGTTGGTTTGGATCTGAACACCCCTAGTTTTAAGGAAATCACCTACTAATGTGATCACCATTCACCAACATTGTTTCCTTCAGTGGCATATTTCTATGTTCAATGCAACTATAATTGAATAAATAAACAGTAATCGATACATTTCAAAACCGAGGGCTCAAAGTTAAACATGAACTTACAAGATAATATCATTACTTGGCCTCCATATCCTGACAAGTTTGTCATAGAATGAGCAAGTGGCAACTACTGGTTTACTTCTCCCTTCAATGAGCTTCACTTCTCCTTTCTGCCAGTCTGATCCATATGCAAGTGAATCATGCTTCTTGTATGTTTCCAACACCTCAGCTTTGTCGCCTTTAATACCAACGCAAAACCGTTGTGCATACAAGCAGCCAAAACAAGGCCTTGAATGACGGGATGGTGTTTCACCCTCCAAACACCTCCACCTAAACTGATTGAAGTTTCATTAACAGGTTTTGAGATTGATCTTAAATCCCAAACCCTCAAGAATTCATCATAGCTGCCAGTTAATAATCTATTTGGGTCATGAGGACTCTTTTCGATGCAAGTAACACCCATTGTGTGGACTTTGGAGTTCTTAAATACAAGATTGGAAGGACTGTCCCTCAAATCCCAACAACAAAACTTACAATCGTCAGAGCCAGTATAGACCAAATTTGGCTGTTGGATATCAAAAGAGGTTGTCCAAAGTTCAAAATCATGTGCCTTCCACTCCTCTTGTATTTCCAGCTTGGATTCAAGAAGAGAAACAATAGAGACACAGCCATCAGAAAGCCCAACTGTGATTGATGTGGATGAAGGATTCCAATCGAGGAACAAACACATTGAGTTACTAATTTTCTCACTTGTAATCTCTTTTAGACAAGTCCCTGCCGTTGAATCAATAACAATTTTTAATACAATGTAGCTCAGTAAAGGAATGAATGGCAGCTCTCTTTAGCAAAATATAAACTTAGAAACAAGAGAATATGATGGTGCGATTGAGTCCAAGAATAAATGCCAGTATTCAGTGTTGTCCATGGCGGAAAGCCAAAATCCCGCTATACCAAATGCTTTGCGGCACAGTCATTTGACAACACTGAGGGTAAGTGCTAAAGAATTTATTTTTAGACTTCTATCAAGCTTGTAGTTGTACTCACCAGTGAAAATAGTGTTATAGAAATGAAAGAATCAAGAGACAAATCCATACCTTCCACTCCATCACAGCAACCATCCAGCCTCTTAATTCTCAAGTATCCATCAGCATCTGCTTGACCTAGAAAAGGACTTGTGTTCCCTGAGGGTGGATTCCACTTTATATCGAAAATCCCACTAGTCTCCTCACTATAAACGGTCTCAAAATTGTCTGTGTCCCCATCAACATTGAATAGTGAAATGCTTCCACATCTAGTGGGTTGATCACCTTCTTGTAGTGTGTAAGTGGACGCTGCTAAAACATTGTGGTGCCCATTATGTGGGCAAAACTCCACAGCATCTGCATTACCTTCTAAATAGCAATGTGCTACATCCATGCTGACCAAATAATTGTCTGTTATGAACCCACAAATAAGAGACGAATTCAAGATAGAATGAATTTCCTGTAAGGAGTTTGTAAATTGTTAGAATTCAAGATAAAATGTTCTGGAACTTAGGTCTTCTTCATATTTGGTACTTAGGCCTGTCTAATTGGCACACAGGCCTACTTTAAAACATTTTGTGCGCGAGAGTATTCAATGAATGACTTAAAACCGACTTCTGAAACAATAAGCATGAACACGAATTTATATGACACATTTCTTGCATTTAAAAATCTTACTAAGATTCTACATCTCACGAATATGAAGTACTAACGTCACAGTTAAGTTCTTATCTCATTCACAATTAACCACCAATTATACACTCCAAAAATCACCAATTTAATACACAAACAGTATATACTTATGGTTCATGATCAAGAGTTCCCATTACAAGCAAATGCTATATGTCACCAAGAAAGACTCAAATGCAAATAAGAAAACACATAGAAATAGATAACCTTAAATCAAAGCACAAATTCCTACATGCACGGGTATTCTAAAAGGAAAACCCACACAGAACATTTTACAAACACCTTATATGCACATTAAAAAAAAAGTGGAAATTTTGAGAATGCTGACCGTGAAGAAACTAGAAAAGAACAAACGGTGAAGCACTAGTTCTTGGATATTCCTCTTTCTTGGTGGAGATTGAAGTAGAGATGAATCTATTTTGAGGAGGGAACAGAGGTGAAGATGTTGAGGAGTGAGCGTGACTATATCCCGGTAAAAGAGAAGGGTGAGAGAAATTATTTATGAAAAAAAAATTCTCATATATATAAGAGAAATACTTTAAATAGTTTAAATATATGTCTTTGTTTGGATTAATGAAATCGGTTGGAACATAAGTATAAAATGAATAAAAATGATATTCTATTTTTTTTTGGATAAATTTAAAAATGGATAGAACATATTAGAATGGAGTGTTGTAGAGTCTATTTTGTTAAAAGTATAATTTTTGTTCTGTCGAAATGCATGTGTGGTGTAAGTCGAATAGCTTATTATATAGGTTATAAGTTGTATTTGACAGAGTTGAATACAACAGATATTGTAGTATGTCGAAATTATATTTTGGGCTTTAGCGTGTTTTGTCTAATTAGGCATGGACATTATTTGCCTATATAAAGGGCTGCTGAGTTTGTAATCAGTGTGTAATCAATAACAAATTTTTACAATGCAGTTAGAATCACAACAAACTTTTAATATCTCTCTCTCTCTCTCTTTCTCTCTCTCTCTCTCTCTCTCTCTCTCTCTCTCTCTCTCTCTCTCTCTCTCTTTTTCTTCTTCCTCTTCCATAAATCATCTTTCTTGAAAATCTTTTGTTCCAATAAATTGGTATAACAGAGCTCGATTGTGATTCAGAGAGAATCTAATCATAAACGGGACAACATCGTCAATGCAGTTTCTAACGAATCAACCGGTTTTCAAAGGTGAAAACTATCAGCGGTGAGTTGCGCAGATGAAGGTTATTTTCATATTTCAAGATGTTGTTGAAATCTTGAATGATGGAGTATCAGAACTGGAAGTAAATGCGATGGAAGCCCGGAAAACTGCGCACAAAGATCAGAGGAACAAAGATGGTAAATCAATGTTCTTGATTCACCAGTGTGTGGATTCTGATGTATTTGAGAAGATAATTGAAGAAGAAACAGTAAAAGGAGTTTGGGAAAAGATAAATAACTTGTATGGTGGAGATGAGAAATTGAAGAACGAGAAGTTGCAGACGCTAAGGAAGTAATACGAGATGCTTCAGATGAAAGAAGATGAATCAATTTTTGTATATTTCTCAAGAATTATGACGGTAACCAACCAAATGAAGGCATGTGGTGAATCAGTTACAGATCTGCAGAAGATAGAAAAGGTGTTGAGATCATTAACTGCAGATTTTGACTATATTATTGTGACAATTGAAGAGACCAAGACTCTATCTGAGATGAAGTTGGAAGAACTTCAAGCTTCATTGGAGGATCATGAAATGAGGTTGAAGCATAGAAACTTAGAAAGAGAGAAGGTGACTGGACATGCATTGCAATAAAGATTCAGCAAGAAAGTTGGAAAAGAGAAGTCAAAGCAGCGAAATAATCTTGCTAGTTATGAGAAGTCAAGCAAGATTACTGATTCGATCAAGAAAGGTGTGGGTAACAAGTATTCTGGGAAGAAAGTTGACATGAAAGAGGTGCAATGTTATAATTGTCAATGTTTTGATCATCATACTAGAGACTGTTGAAGAAAGAAAGTTGTGAGGGCGAAAGATAGTGATAAAGCTCAATATGCACGAGCTAGAGATAGTGATTTTGATGATGTATTGTTGATGGTGAACACTCAATCGAACACTGAGAAAAACAACATGTGATATCTGGATTCAGGATGCAACAACCACATGACTGACAATAAAATCTGGTTTACCAAGTTAGATGAGTCAGTCAAAAAGATGATAAAGTTTGCAGATGGCAGGCACATCAAATCAGGTGGTAAAGGAGATATTTCGATTATTATGAAGGATTATCGAAAATCTACTATCATTGAAGTGCTATATGTACCTTCTATGACAAGTAACTTGATAAGTGTAGGTTAATTACTTGTAAAAGACTTCAACATGAAGCTGGAGAAAAATCAAATGAAGGTATATAGGGCTAATGAGAGGGTAATAATGAAAGCACCATTGACGGAGAACAAAACGTTCAAAGTTGAACTCAACACATCAGATCACAAATGTCTTACTTCAACTACAGAAGAAGACAAAAATTGGCTATGGCATCACAAGTATGGACATCTAAACTTCAGAAGTTTATGCATGCTCAATCAGAAAAGGATGGTGTTTAGGTTATCGTATGTAAAGGAACCAAATCAGGTATGTGAGGAATGATGCAAAGAAAAACAGTCTAGGAAGGCATTCAAACATGACTTGCTCGTGAAATCAAAGCAAAAACTGGAGTTGGTTCATTCTGATGTGTGTGGACCCTTTGAAGTAAAGTCAAATAGAGGTAACATGTATTTCCTTACTTTTATTGATGAATTCACCAGACATATGTGGATTTACGTTATTGAAAGGAAGAGTGGGGTATTCACACGGTTCAAGAATTTCAAGTTGCGTGTTGAGAAATAAACTGGCTACAAATTGAAGAAGTTAAGAACTGACAATGGTGGTGAATATACTTCTGCTGAATTTGCTAGATTTTGCAATGAGAAAGGTATAGATCATGAGGTTATTGCATCCTATACGCCTCAACATAATAGCATAGCTGAGAGAAAGAATAGAAGTATACTGAACATGACGAGAAGTATGTTGAAAGCTAAAGATATGCCTAAGAGATTTTGGGCTAAAGTAGCTTCAACAACAGTATATATTCTAAATAGATGTCCAACAAAGAAGATGGTCGAAAAGACACATCATGAGGCTTGGACATGGTCGAAGCCAAATGTGAGTCATCTTAAAGTTTTTGGATCAATGTGCTTCATGCATGTACCTGAACAATTGAGAAAGATGTTGGATGATTGAAGTGAAGTCATGGTGCTCATAGGTTATTATTTGACTGGTGCATATAAGTTGTATTCTCCAAACGAAGATAAACCAGTAATCATTCGAGATGTTCTTATAAATGAAAGCAAAGGGTGGGACTATAGACGAAGTTTAGTTCGACAAGAATCAGATACAGTCACAAATGTGTTCAAAGAAGATGAACAAAATGAAACTTCAACTAGTCAAAATAAACATGATGATGCTTCAACCAGTCAAAATGAAGAACCACCTGTGCAGAATGAAAGAAGGTCGATAAGAATAAGAACATAATCGATAAGGCTAACTGGATATGAAAGGTCTCCAGATCAAGCAGTTGATGCAAATGGTGACTTAATCGAAGAAGTCGTGATGATGGTTGAAGCAGAACCAATTGATTTGGATAAAGTCGTAATCAATTCGAATTGGTGTGAAGTCATGAAAGAAGAACTCAGATTTATTGAGAAGAACAAGACTTGGGAGCTTGTCGAAAGAACCAACAAGAAACCAATTGATGTAAATTGGATTTACAAGGTGAAACGAAGGCCAAATGGTGAGATTGCGAAGTATAAATCAAGATTGGTGGAGAGATATTTTCTACAAAAACCTGGTATCGACTTCTACAAAGTATATGCGCTTGTTGTGAGGCTAGAAACAATCAAAATTATTGTTTCGACAGCAATATATAGAGGATGGAAGATGCATCAGTTGGATGTAAAGTCAACATTCCTGGATGGTCCATTGGAAGAAGAAGCCTATGTTACTCAACCACCATAGTTCAACGTCAAAGTGCATGAGTCGAAGGTATATATATATTAAGGAAGGCTATCTATGGTTTGAAATAAGCCCCTAGAGCTTGGAATAAGAGAATAGATAGCTTCCTGATTGAAGCAGGTTTCACAAAGTGTGTCTCTGAACATGGGGTGTATGTAAATGATATCAACAGTGTCAGTCGAATCATCTTATGCCTCTATGTTGATCATTTACTCATAACAGGAGCAGACGAAGTTGAGATAATAAAGGTAAAGTCAAAATTAATGCAGGAATTCAAAATGTATGACTTAGGGAATCTCTCATATTTCATAGGGATGGAATTCAAAGATACTGAAGAAGGAGTATTCTTGCATCAAACAAAGTATGCTCGAGATGTTTTGAAGAGGTTTAAAATGAGAAACTGTAATGAAGTTATCACTCTGTTAGAAACTGGAACAAAGTTGAAAAAGGAAACGAATGATGAGTTTGTAAGTTCGACCCTTTACAAAGAAAACATTGGATCCTTGAGATATCTTTGCAATACTAGACCAAATATCTGCCAAAGTGTAGGATTGTTGAGTAGATTTATGGAGAAACCACAAGAATGTCATCTCATCGCGGTAAAAAAAGTGTTGATATACATAAAGGGAACAATTGATCATTGTGTGTTGTTACCAAAGAAGTCTAAGAACACCACAGATGTTGAAGT